CCCGGCTGGCCGGCGGCGCCCACGAGCCCTGTCCCGAGCTGGTCCGGGAGCCGGGCTGCGGCTGCTGCTCCGTGTGCGCCCGGCTGGAGGGCGAGGCGTGCGGCGTCTACACCCCGCGCTGCGCCCAGGGATTGCGCTGCTACCCCAAGCCCGGCTCCGAGTTGCCCCTTCACGCGCTGGTCCACGGCGAAGGCACTTGCGAAAAGCTCGGGGACGCAGATTACGGCGCTAACCGGGAGCAGGTTGCAGGTAACGCGGGCAGGAACCACGAGTTAGGAGAAACTTGGAGGGCAGCGGGGCAGCCCTGCCGGCGGTCGCCTGAGAGGGAAGGAGTGTTTGGCGGGACCGCAGAGACTGCTGTAGAGAAGGAGGAACGGAGTCCTTGCTCAGATCTAGGGAGATTGTTGGGATCGAAAACCCGAAAGTCAGGCCCCGGGTGGGGGATTGGAGTTGAGCAAGCTGAAGAGCCTTGGCTCCCAATTTGGTCGGGACAAATGGGGAGAGGAAAGGCACCCCTGCTACCATTGCCCTCCCCGGGTGGGACGTATCCTCACTTCCATTCCGGAGGGGGGCTTTACTGGGGAGGAGGGTTACATCTTTGGGAGCAGAAACTTGAGTACAGCTTGAGTCGATGACCTGCGACCGGAGGGTCCCAGTGGGAACGCTGATGGGAGGCCGAGGCCGCCGGGCGCTGGTGACACGGGGGGGGGGGCACGGGTGAGATGGCGCAGGGAGGGATATTTATCGAGGGACCCTGCCTTCTACTGGGCTTGTGAAGTGAGGAGAACTTGGTACTTTGTAGAGTGAGTGGGTTAGGAGAACAATTAAAACGAACGCTAGTATTTTACATAGAGAATGAAGAAGGCTCTTTCACCAATGTTGGATGGTAAAATAAAAGCGCGCGGAGGAGGGGGCAGTGCGGAGGCGAGAGGAGACCCCGGCAGTTGGATCAGTGTAACTTAAGCCGGATCGCCGGCTGCATTCCCAGGACCCTGGCTGCCTGGCCGTGCGGTTAGGCATCTGGGCCCCAGGTCTGAAGGCAGGAGCAGCCGGGGCGGGGCAAGCGACGACTCTTAGTGAGTTTTACCCTCCCTCCCCCTCCTCACCCAGGGAACGCTTCCTATCCGGTAAAATGGGGAACCTGGGGTTCTTTGTTATGGGACCCTCATCCTTTCCAAAAAGCTGTTTGAGGAACACAACCAAGCTATAAGGAGTTCATTTTAAAAAAATTTTTTATTTTTACATTACAAAAGCCCCCTGCCTCCCTGGTCAGGGGAAAGCTGTAACTATTTCTTTCCTCTTTCAGACAGTGGTGAAATGTGTCCATTGCTCGCTGCTGTTTAAAAAGCAAGCGAATCTGACCCAAGTTTCTCACCAGGGAAAAAAAGAAAAAGTGCAGACATTGTTGCTTGCTTCTCAGCTTCCTTGTAAGCCCCCTCCCTTCCTGTGACCTGCTATTGTTTTGTTCTCTGTTCTCCTTGAGAATGGAATTAAGGGTCAGAGTTGAAATCTTGCTTCTGTTTCTCTGGCACTGTTTGACCTTGAGTGCAGAGCTAGGTAGTGCTTCCTCCTAAGTGGAACCCCTCCGTTCCTTTCTTCTCCCTCCCAGCCTGCCTTGCAATTAACCCTTCCCTCCTGCTACTCTTAATGTTAATAAAGGGGAAAAGACTCGGGCATCCTCTTCCTGTGGGGCGCCAGTCCCAGTCCTGCCGTCCTCCCCCATCACCTCTGGCTTTCCGCAGTCCGCCCAGGAGGTTTTGTGCGGTTTCTGAGCAGGACTTGGACAAACTAAACATCCTCCTCAGCAAGGTGAACTTTTCCAAAGGCCTTGTGTGATCCGTTTGGATTTTGCCTGTTTTAATAAAGTGTGCGGTGTATTTTCTTCCTCACCGTTTTAGTATTTTTTCCACTCTTCATTCGTGTCCCTCTGAGCCTGAAATCCAGCTCTCCTGCTTCCCAGGGGTCCCTGAGGCAGGTTCGCGAATTGGGCAGGCAACAGATGGGGGAGGAAGGTTCTCTCCCAGCCACTATTCCTTTTCCTGGGGGGGAGGTTGTCAGGGGAGCCCGAGGACAATGGGGTGACTTCATGGGAAGAATGTCACTCTGGATTTTCTGCCTGGGTATGGGACTCCTTTCCACCAGCTTGCCTCAGCTGCCTTCTCAGCTTCTCCCAGTGCCTGGACACCTTCCGCCTTTTTCTCTTGTGTCCCAGTCTGGGATGAGGGGACATTCAGCAGAGGTGAGGGGGTGGAGTAGAAGCTGAGTTGATGCTCTTGACTTGTCCAACACGGGGGTGCATGAGGGGGGGAGCAGGGCCAGGGGAAGCCCCCCAAGAGGCCTGGGCCAGCAGGGGTGCAGAGAAGGGTGGTGGTCAGGGGAGAGGCGTCTGTACCTGTTGGAGAGGGTCCTGGGCCAGGGCAGGGACTGGAGTCGCTGTATGGCGAGTGCTAGTATCTGAGTTGGGGGTAGGGTGGGGACTGCATATGGCAGGGCGGAGACCTTAGCCCTGAATGCTGGGCCTTACTCTCCTTCTCCCATCTCCTCCCCACCCCAAGAATGAGCCCCCCCAAGCCTGCATTCCTCTTTGAGCAGGTTGCTTTTGAGAATTTTAAACATACCCTCTTATTTCGAGGCAGCAAACCCCAGCAGTTCCGGCTTTGCTGTTAGCTCTTTTGTCTTTGTTCCCAGGACGCAGGGGCTGTGTAGCTGGCTTCCTGGGGATGGCAGGGATGCAGGGGTTGGGGGTGGGCACATCGGCGGCTGCAGGCTGCGGGCTGCGGGCGGGTTAGAAGTGGGTGATGGTGAGCCTGCATCCTGGAGAAGGGGGTGATGGGCTGGGACTTGGGTCACACGAACTGAGGAGTCAGACTAGGGGGGATGGCCTGGTAGAAAATGAAAAGGGGAGCCTGTGATCTGCCTGAAGTCAAGACTTTACAAGTCTGGTGAGGTGGTGAAGTGAGCAGAAGCACCTAGAAATGTGGGGGGTGGGGTGTGTGTGGGGCCCAGGCCCGGCCCTTTCAGAATTCTGGCCTGGCTGGTCCCTCAGCATCTCCCAGCCTCCTTCCCCACAGGGGTACAATGCAGGGGATTATGCTGAGGGGCGGGCCGCTGGCTCTCTGCACATATAAAGGTGCTATAGAAATGTGCAGTCATTCAAAGTCCCAACGGCGCGTGAGCAGGCAGGCTCCGCGTCTACCGTTGTTGGGGGAGGACGGAAGGGGAGCGGTGGGCCTGATTTACAGTGGTTCAGTGCAGCTTCAAAACTGGGGTTGGGGGGGGAAGAAAGCAACGGGACTTCTGGCTGGGAGTGCTGCTTTGCATCTCGTCTTGCATAAATTTGCATACCGAGTTCAAAGTCGTAAAATAGACTGGAGAATGAGTGGGACCCACTGTCACTGATTGTTAGCACCACTACCTTCCGCCTCCCCTCCCCCCTTCTGGACTGAACTCCTTGAACCAGCTCTGCTAAGCTGTGGGCAGGAGTCACCCCAGGAAGACTTGGAAGGAGGGGGTGGGGGGCTGAGACTGCAGCTCTTGTCTTCTCTTGGACACAGAGAGTTCCTTGGTTTAGACTCTGTGGGTGAGGCCCTGTGCACCTTGGAGACAGACCTGTCTGCAGGGTGGCCAGTGGGGACCGGTGAGGGTGCAGTGGGTGTTCTTCTTTGTGGCTAGGGCGGGCCAAGGGTCTGCTCTGTTCAAAGTTTCCCCACCCAAAAGACTCTTGGAATAAGTTCAACAGCCTAAAGGGAAGAAGCCACCTGTTGTGATAATGAGGGTCAGGCAGTTATTCTTGGCCAAGTTGGGCTATTGAGTTTCCTGGCAGGCAAAGGGAAGAGGGAGGGTTAGATAGCTTTCCATGCCTCTCATTTTAAACAACAATTTCAGGCAAATCATTCTTTTGGGTTAAGGGAGTCATGGAATTTAGTGCTACAAATGTGCCATGCAAGCTTCGAGCTGGTTCTCAGCAGTGCTGTTCTCTGCCTTAGAGAGTGGGACTCACTGCTGTCAAAACTGGTAGTTCTTAGCCCCAGTGGAATGGAGAAAGGGTAAGGACATAGGATATATGGAAAGCCAGCGCCAGGCTTCTAAAGGGATTGAAGGGGAGCAGAAATCAGCAGGCTTTTATCCTCATTTGGTTTTGTTGTTGGTCCTCACATACTACAACACTCTACCAAGAAAAATACGAAAAGCTGAAGATTTTGTTTTGTTTTAAGGGATCATATCCAGGGACTGTCTCAGTTTCTCTTCTCCTTTCCCAGATTCTTCTTCTTGTCTTTTCTATCCTGTCCTCTCATCCCACTGAACTGTTCTCTTCTTTCTCATGCCTTTCCCTCCCCACACCGCTGCCACGCCTGGCCCAAGCAGAACACCTGGCTATGTGGACAGGGCCCAAGAAGTGTGGAAAATATACTACTGGCCCCAGGCTTCCTCAGATCCATTCAGAGGGAGACCATGTGACTGGAGACCAGGATGTTGAGAGACACTAAAATCCTTAAAAGAGGAGGTTGGTTGACTGGCTGGGCAGGGACTGGGCTTTGCAGGAAGGGACTTCTGTGGGTGGGCAGGAGACTGGTGCTTTCTTCCTACGGAGCTTAGTACGAGGGCTGCTTCTGCTGCACTGAAGGCATGGAAGGGGGGGCGGTCACACTTGGGCTTCACCAGGGGAGCCGGGGATCTGGTTGGCAGATGTTCCAGGCTCCTCTGTCTCTCCTTGTTATCTTTGGCCAGCATCTTCCTGAGGTGGCAGGCAGCCATCAGGAGATGGGTCATCCCCCCATCTATCCTTATTCCACTGAAACTGACTTCCTTGCCTGCTTTGTCTCCTGTCTTCCTCCCTTCCTGTGAGGGGAAGGAGGCTTTGCTATCTCTTCCTCATAGGTGTGGACATGGGCTCAGTCGAGGGGTCAAGAGAGTGAGGAGCAGAGGAGAGCGACCAGCCTGGCACCCACAGCCAAGCAAGGGGTTGGTTCAGCTGTGGCAGAAAAGGCCTTTGAGCATATTGGCCAGTAATTGAGTTCTGGACACCTGCTGGATCACCATCACTGCCGGATTTGGGTTACTGTACTTGGTTCCCCTTGATTTCCTCTGCAAGGCCCAATCCTTGCCTTCAAAAAGTAAGTGGCTGGCAGGTGGGGGTTAGACAAGACACGGAAAAGGGACCCAGAGGATCTCTGGAGAGAAATAGCTGGTAAGCAGCTGCAGATGTGGAAGCAGACTGGGTTGTTTGTCACATTAACTTAGCTTCAGTG